AAAATTTCTTTCTGTAACGAGCAAACTAATTAATTACCGTCTTCTTTTAACAAAATGATCGTTTCTGTTATTGATAAGAAAAAGCGTGCGTTAAGCAGCGCGGTGTGTTGAAGCTGTCATCAGCTGATCAGGAGCTAAAGAGGTAGATGTTTTCATCCAAACACATCACGGCCCGTGAAGAACGAGGAAGACGTGATGAATATCTACGGCTGCAGACGCCCCGCAGATTTGTTGCTGCAGCAGCGAATCTGCGGGTCTGCAGCCGTGCCCTTCTTAGCGTGACAGCGGGACGTCCCGAAGGTCCGCTCACCTGTTCACCGCTCAGACGTCCTGATCTACTACCATCTTAGATCATCCAGCTGTAGCCAGTTTCTGATCATATCTTTAGTCACGCTGTAACACTGATGCATCAGTCTCAGACGTCATGGAGCTCAGGTGCTATTAGAACTACCTGTGTGTGTTTACCACCCAGCTTCAGCTCTTCTGTGGTCGGGTCTGACCCAAGTTAGTAAATGTAAGTCCTCCATCAGGCTTGTGCCTCTTCTAGTGTCATTTTAAAGGGTTTTATTTATTTATTCAACCGTTACTAGATTACCAGCAACAGAAATGCTGCTAAAACACAAAATTATGTGAAGGTGGAAAAATTAAAATGCTGTGCAAAATTACATTCATTTCTGTAATTTAACTAGACTGTGAGACCATTTAAAGGCCCGGGAACCTTTGCAGTTGTTTCTATTTGCAATTTTAAATTTTAGCTGATTGGGGTCTTGTTAAATATCACACAGTGACCTTTTCATAGTCTAGATTAGTGTAATGCTCCTGTTAGTAGTTCCTCCTGTTGAGTGCTTTTTTAATTTAATTTTTCAGGTTTATAAAAAACATTTGGACATACATTTTATTATGTTCCAGTCATTAGTCATTTATATTTCACTATTGTAGTAATTCTTGCATGCTTTAATGAAAAAAGTAACTAAGTAGTTATTTTTATTGGTAATTAGTTACTTTTATAATCTTGTAACTCAGTTAGTAACTGAGTTACTTTTTTGACAAAGTAATCAGTAACTATAACTAATTACTTTTTTTAAGTAACGTTCCCAACACTGGTGACTATGTGTGAATGTGTTTATCAGAACCTTGTTTCTAGAAGAAAATGAGTTCTGGGTGTGAAAAGGAATTTGGTTTGCATTAAGCTATGAAGTTGGTTCTCATCAAAACCGGCATCAGACATAATCTGTGTCTACCTCACCCTTTCTTTGGAGACCCTCTTCGCGGATCAGGAGGTCAGGGAGGTCGGATGACCGCTGGGCACCGAGGTTTGGTAGATTAACCGCAGCACCGACTCTCCAGTCCAGAGATGTTTCTGAGTCACAACAGATAGATGAAATTGTTGCGTCTAGAACAGCTGTTTCTGAATGGCTGAAGGAGCCATTTTGCTGTGTCAGCTATAGGCAGCTTTTAGCAGGGTTTTTGACAGATTGTCAAAAGTGCTCTGGGTTAAACAGGGTTCACTACGGATGGCCTGTCCGTAGCTTTCTCTAGAACTGAATGCTGAATCTCACAGGATGCTGGAAGCTGGAAGTTGAAGTGCTGAATCACTGTAAGTGATTTTGTTTTAATGTTCTCATATTATGATTTACTTGGCCAATCGGGACATGCCATGTTAAGGGGTGTTCACAAGCAAACCTCAGAACGTCACGCCTTGCGTCAGATACAGGAGTTCTGATTCGTGGAACAGAAAGCAATGTGTCAGGATATTAGCTTAACCTTGTCATCGTCACGTGTCTGAGTGTGTGTGAGCTGTCAGAAAATAGTGATTCACTTGTTAAATCTAACTTTACTGATCATAATATCAAAATGTTTCATTTCAAACTTCAGTAGTTCAATCAATCAACCTTATTAATTTAAGCACAGATTAATCAAAACATTATTGATCGTTTCGTATAACATTTGTTCATTCCATTTCGTGATTGATTAACTCATATGAGCTGAAAATAGTCACTTTATTCAGAGGCATGAGGAATGTTATCAGAAGAAGGCCTTGTTTGGGAACACAGGCTGACATTGTTCCTCCTGAAATGTCATCAAGGTTTGCAGAACCTTGTTGCTTGTTGGAAGGTAGAATGTGAAATCCACCTTAGAGCTGGAATCATGTCTTCCGGTGACTAGTGGCATGTAGGTCAGTTTTTAGGTGGAAACTGACCATCGCTGGATGTTACAGTAGAGGCACATTGCTGTAATTCAGTCCGAGATGCAATGCCCAAATATTAGGAAAAAAGATTCCAAATCTGAAGCTACTTTCTACTCCACCTGAACTCTCCGTGCTGACGCAGGCACTTCTGGGCTTCCCCCCTCCAGGACAGCTTACAAGGAATTCATTCCTGCAAAAACCACTACAAATGTATTGATTAAACAAGTGTTCAACACCTTAAACTAAAAGACAAAGAGAATGAGACATACACATCATCTCATATTTTAGATCAACTGACTGCATTGTTTTGTATCAAATCATATAATACTGTACTGTAATACAGCATAATCTATTGTATGTTAATGGACTGCATTTCATACTGTTGGAATGTATTGCATTGTGTTGCAATATGTCATATCAGATAAATTAGTATTGTATAATTTTGCAAACAATACACAGTACAAAGCTGTACCTTATTGTAATAAATTTACCATGTCAAACAAAACTAAGCCATAAGCTATGGCAACATCATCACTTAGGATACTTGTTTTAAATTTTTAGACTATTTACTGGGTAAAAATTCGTAAAAATCACCAGCACAAACAAATTGTTATAAATAAAACTGTGGGTCATTCGGCTAGGTAAAAGTACAGTAAAAAGTAAATAGATGTGTATAGAAACTAAGAGATTGTAGGAAAGCGGTGCCTAAAAGATTAGAATTTCTTCTGTGACAAGGTAAAAACATGGCAGCCAAGGGGATCATCCTGCGTCATCAAGTTCAGTCACAGGCAGAAATTTTACAGCTGGCAGGTCCCTCCACGTGTGCTGTCAAAATACTTCTGAAGTGGCACAAAAACTGTGCACAAGTGAGGACTGGAAACTGAAAGGTATGCCAAGGAAATGGTGCACAGCTCAAAGAAGTGACATGAATGTCCAGCAGCTGAAGGAACGGTCTGAAATGTGGCAGCAGGTGCTCTGGGCTGATGAGCTGAAAATTACAATATTTGAATCTGATAGAAGGCTTGTCAGAGCTGAGGGCCGGGGCAGCTTCTCAGAGATGTAGGACTGCTTTCGGGTGTTTTCAATTATAATTATTAATGATGCAGTCGCTTTGTTGTTCTTATTAAGCTGATAAAATTATCATCTTATATTTGGATCAGTCTGCATCATGAAAATGACCCTAAACATAAAACTAAACAAATAAAAGCATTTAACAGAAAAATAAAGAGGAATTCAAGCCTTTCCCTCGTGGTTCTGTTTAACATCGCAATGTCAACCTGGCCCTAAACTAAAGAACTGGGACTGTCATTGTTTGGGGGTTTGTTTTTTCCTTTGCATCCCATAATTTGTACATCAAGCTTTTATTTGACTTTCAGTTGTGTTTTCTGTCATATCTGACTCAATGAATGCTTCCTGTTTTGCACTATTCATGGAATATGCTCAGTGCTAGCAGTTTCAATTTCCGTGCACGTTTCTGTTTTCCATGATTCTGTTTTTATTTTCTGTGGAAAACCTAAAATGTTTAGATTATTTTTTTAGTTTTTTTTTTAGCAGGTTTATTTTACAGTTACAGAGAAAGTCAAGTTTTGTGCTTAAAACAACCTAATAACCCAACTCTGCACACATATAACAAGCGATGCCAAAGATGTCATGTTTACTCACTACTTCGCTTTTTTATCGTTGTTACAGTTTATTAGCAACATACGCACATTTTTAAGAAATAACTTGAGGTGTATTTATTTCCTGTTTAATATGTACAGCGTTTTTATTACAAGGAATGTTCAACTCAACTGTCCAAACATGAATCTCAAAGCAGAGAGCTTTTCTAGAAACCACTGCCTCACACGACAAATAAATAAATAAATTAGAGTAAGTTTCCAATCTTACAGCATTTGGTTATTTTTAGAATCCTTGAAGTCTGTTTAGTAGCCAGAGGGCTGTGAAGCACTAACACTCCACATGGCTACTACAGTTTTCACACGCAGCTTGACATCTTTTACACAATCAGCCATGGTGATTGTTTGGCCGTGCACATTTTGGCTGATTTTTGGTTAAAGGAGGCTGGAGGGGAGGTTTTGCAGAATTTAAAGACTGATTTGGATTGTAGTTTGGATCTGTAATGGTTCCATCCTTGAGCAAACTCTGTGTGATTACATAAATGCACACGCTGCTCTATTTAGACCACATTTTGGGTCCATCACTGAAAGTTCTTAAGAAGACATTTTATGCAAAAACTCAACTTTTGCATGCTTTTGTGCTACCATGTGGGTCTCTAGTGCCTCTACAAACTCTTCAAACATAAAAAAACTGTTCATCTAGTTTCTGTGGGTGTTTGGTTTTAGGAATTATGTGCCTAAAACAAGCGACTTTAAAAAGTCACTGTTTGTGATGTCACAAACAGGGAAATTAGAATAGAACCTCCCCTGAACGGCAAGAGAGAGCTGCTAGAAGAGCAGCACCTCTACTCCAAGCCCCTACTGAAAATCAGAGCTTCTCAGCTTATAGCAACATTAGCTGGGAAGAGATTGTTTTCTTAAAATGACAGCGCCCTGAAATGGCTCAGTCTGTAAGACTGGACAGTCAGCTAGACTTTTAGGACAGATATTTAATGTTAGGAATTAATGTGTGATGGTTTCTGGCCAAATGCAAGTGTCCTTTTTAAGGGAGGTTGGGGCCATTTTTGAGCTCTTTTGGTTCTTGTGGTATGCCCGTTATTATAAGTCCTGTTAGAAGCTTTCTCAGCATTTGAGCTCAAAGTTTCTGCTGCAGAAAATGATGCAGACACTGATTTAAAAGAGTCCACACCACCAAATGGAATTCTGACTCGTTTATTTAATTTTTCAGCACACTTACAATCAAGGTTTAGATCAACATCCACTGGCATTTTATACTCTACCCACACAAAATCGTCAGACAACACATATGACAACATCAGACAAAAAGTTCTATGTTGGCAAACAGATCTAGGCAGTGCTCAGTCCCTCAGTCTCACTCACCACCCATCAGACGAGACGGCGGATTGAGTCTTTGTTTGGATATTGCATAATTATGCACAGGGGTGAAATGACATGCAGTGCTGTTGCCAAAGCAAACTTAACGTACATGTTGTGTTATCTGTGAAGTATAGTGGTGTTCCGTTGCGTACTCGCAGCACCATCTGGGTACATCCAGCTTTAGAAAACAGCTATTGCACACACCGTATGTGAAAAGGTTGGTGAACTGAAATGATGCTTCCCCTGAGGTCGCTTTGTTGTCAGTGATGTCATCATAACCTGCAGTTTGATTTTGTTTAAATCCTCTTTCTGATTTACACATGTGCATATTGTACACAAAACTGTGCAAAGTTCACTAATCAATAACTCCCTCTGATCTATACTGTGTGTGCTTTGCAGTTCAGTCTTTTCTTCTATCTGGTACAGTATGTGTCTTAGTGTATTCAGTGTATTGCTGACGCATTTCAGTACTCTTTACTGGCTGTGGTACTACATCTCTGTCTTGTTTTCCTCACTATTTCTCTCCTCATTAAAGGCGGTACTTTCTCAGGAGCTCTGATTGCCACATGTACTTCCTCTCAGGAAAACGATCGGGAATCCTGATGCGCCGGAAGTCCTGAATGCATTTCTCCAGCTCCTGTTCCGGAGTCATCTTCTCCTTGTTTGCTTTCCTCTTGGCAGCTTCCCGCTCCCGCACTCCGAAGGTTCTCACTCGGATATTGTCTGTCTTGCGGCGCATCTCTGCCTGCTGCAGCATGTGGACTGGCCCCTTGGGCAGGGGGCGATCCAGCGTCTGGATGTTGGGCCGCCGGGTCACGGGACCACAGATTACAGTTCCTTGAGGGGAACTGGCTTCTGACTGGGTCTCTGAGCAGGAAGTGGAGAGGTCATTAAAGGATGTGCCGCTCTCTCCTTCCCGCTCACTTTTGTGGCTCTTGCAGCAGCAGTCATAGTGAGAGGACGGCCAACGCGAGGGTCCACCTACAATGAAACACAAACCTGAGTCAGTCTGACTGAAAATCTACTGACATTTTTCTTTGATAACTCCTAAAAAACCCAGATCTAGTCATTTTCTTAAAACCAACATCAACTGACTGTAAGTAATGAAAGAGTTTGGTGAGAACACATGATTTCTGTGACATTTCCTAATCCAAACAAGCTGATGAGCTGTGCATAGCGCATCCTCTAATAAGGAGAACCCCAGAGCTCAAATGGCTCAGAACAACTTACTGAAAGACCTTTCCCATTTCCCAAGGCAAAGCCTGTCTGCCCCCCAAAGCAATCTGCTTTGCTGTCACAGCTCCTAATTAGACCTGTAACCAGGCTTCCAAGGCAGCGTTAGCTCTTTTTCACATCAATCAGTCAAAAAAGCCGGGTCATATTCTTTCGGCCTTGGGGGAGGCAGCAAAGAACAAAAGGCAGGTAAACAGGGAGCGTAATTCATCTGGCTGCTGAGAGAAGGCACCGGTCCACCGCAAGGGCATCCTGATCTTTAGTCAAGGAGTCTGGAAGAAGAATGCGTTCCAGCAGAAGATTTGAGCTGTCTCTCCTTCTCTCTCTTCTACCTTCTTCTCATTTCATCTCACTTCCTCCCACTCAGCTAATTATGAAGCAGAAATCCTACACAGTCCTGCCTGCTGGCCTGTGAAGTGTTCAAGTAAAGACACTAGCGCTGTGTTCGTTTTCCAAAAATATCCACAATCTTGTTTAGGTCTGCTTCCAGTTAGAAATGTGCAAAGATGAGTCTGCTCTCTGTGTGTAAACAGCAGGATGAACTCAAAAACAAACTCCAACAGCTCTTTTCCAGTGAGATGATTCAGACTTAGCAGCGATTTCTCATGGGGGAGATGATGATTGGTCTATTGCCATCCTCTGGCACATGCACCGATTTAAACAGAGTTCAAGGGGGATTTTAACCTCTCCTCGCTGACTGTAATAACGACCTTATCTCGGGTGAAATGATTGCATTGAACTGATAACAAGAGAGTCGCTAACAGCTTTTTAATGGCTAATCTATGAGTTAAGAGGCCAATCAGAGCACCAATTTCCCCCCACAGAAAATGAATCCAGCAGCACCGGGCAAATGGTGAGGAGGATCAAGAGGAGGAGGCCAAGCATTCTTTCTAAATGGATGAATGCTGTAGTCCAGAGGGGCAAACCGATTAGGAAACAAGCCAACACCCAATAATAGCAACACAAACATTTCAGGCCATGCAGGAGAATGAATATTTATCAAACCATCGAGAGGCTGAGGAGATCAGAAGCTTTGTATTTTCGTTTAATTTTATGCAAAGGTTATTCTTAATTGAGTAGTTTTATTTTTGATGTTGTGCAGATTCAGGGGAAAAAAGGAGAAAAGGAGCGTGATGCAAATTTTTTAGCACCCCAAGAGTAATCATTAAGAGTGGCAGTGCATGCACACCGAGCCACTTTCGATGCTTTTTGTCTTTTTTTTTCTGTCACATTTTTTATTTATTTCTCTAAGTGTAGCTTTTAAAAAATAGTTCATGAAAATGTGTGATTTCTACATACACAACAATGGGATTTTGGTGGAAGTGCAGGAACTCGGCTGTTTGGAGCTCTGTAGCTCCAGCTCCTTTGTCACAGACAGCTAGACTGGACTCGACCATAAATGTCATTTTTACATCTTTTTACAGGTTCTGCAAAATAAATGGTCACACATGTATGTTGTTGGACCGCCTTTAGCTTTGATCATGACACACATTCACTGTGGTGTTGTATTAGGCTTCTGCAGTGTCGCAAGCTTTATTTCCATCCAGTGTTGCATTAATGTGTCACCAAGATCTTGCATTGATGATGGTAGAGTCTGACCGCTGCACAAAGCCTTCTCCAGCACATCCCAAAGACTCTCAATGGGGTTTTGGTCCGGACTCGATGGTAGCTGATGCTCCCTAAACCACTCTTTCACTATTAGAGCCTGATGAATCCTGGCACTGTCATCTTGGAATATGCCCGTGTCATCAGGGAAGATGGAATAACATGGCCATTCAGTATATTCAGGTAGTCAGCTGACCTCATTCTTGGAGCACATCCTGCTGCTGAACCTAGACCTGACCAACTGCAGCAAGCCCAGATCATCGCACTGCCCCCACAGGCTTGTACAGTAGGCTCTAGGCATGATGGATGCATCACTTCATCTGCCTCTCTTCTTACCCTGATGCACCATCACTCTGGAACAGGGTCCATCTGGACTCATCAGATCAGTTTTTAATAATGCGTTGGACAGTTCTTAACGCAGTTTTAGTCGTTTCTGCATCTGCTTAGATGTTTTATCCGCTTGATGCATGCCAATGATCTGACCCTTCTCAAACAGACTAACATCTTTGCCACGACCACCAAAGGTGTCTTTCCACATGGTTGTTTATGAAATGAGAAGCAGCTCATTGCACCAGTTAGGATTAAATAACTTGTTGCAGCTGAAAGATAATCACCCATGCGGGAATTATCCAATAGGAAGCTCCTATTTGCTTATTAAATCAAGGTGGCAATTTTCAGTTTTGGGCTGGGAGGTGTATTATGACTATTGTGAAGTTATAATAGATTAATTGAAAGCATGTTTAAAATCCCTCTCACACAAAGCGATTTCAGCAGTTTTATTCATAACGTTTTCCATGCCCACAATCGCCCGATTGGCTGCTTTAAAGTGAGAAGCTCTGATATCCAGGAGGGGCTTGATGTAGAGCCGCTGCTCCTCCAGTACCAATAGGTGATGTCAAAATAAGAGACTTGTTGAAACGGATTGTTTTAGGCAAATAAATCCTGAAAGCAAGCATTGACAGAAAATTGGTGGCTGTTTATTTTCACATTTGTAGAGCCTGTGGAGACATGGCAGCAGAAAAGGTGAGATTAGCCAAATATGTCCCTTTTAAATCCTCCGAGAGTGCAGTCATCATGTTGTGTTTTAGTCCCAAATGTTCTCTTTAAAGCTGGAGCTGACAGTTATCTTTAACTTGTCATATTTAACTAAAAACAGAATAATCATGAAAAACAAAGCAACATGTGCAACCATCAGACCATCATTCAAGCTCCTCTTAGATGATCATAAAGCTGATTTTGGAGTCTGACTTTCTACTCTTTCTGTTTATCTTTTTACATTTTTATGGTGAGCCTAAAGTTTGGTTTATGCTTGATGCATTCACTTTCCGCGCGGTGATGCGGCTCGCGGCTCGCGGCTGGAACGCGCTTCACAACTTGCAGCGTTTATGGTTCGTGCGGCTCGTCTCTGCGGTGAGCCAATATTCTCCCAAACTGTGTGGGGCAGCACGGAGCTCTACGGCATGCATCCAACTCTACACCATAGTAGAAGTAAAAATTACTGTTGTTTACAACATGGCATTTCAGCATTTTTAACAGCGTCCTCGTCTTTTCCGACAGTGCGAGCTATTTCTCTCCAAGAATTATTAACAACATGTTGATCACGGTGATCTCTGAGAGCTGAATCATACAAATGTCTGTATTTACGAACCTCTGCCGTACTAGTTGTTGCCGGTCCGCCATGTTTTTCCGCGTCTGACCGTCCGCGTGGTTAGAAATTTTCCTAGATGCGCGTTGCTGAAAGTTTGGGCCGTGCGGAGACGTGGTGGAGGGGTGTGGTTGTTAAAATGACGCAATTTTGCCGCGCGTAGCCGTGCGGACCTCGCGGACGCGTCAAGCATAAACCAACCTTAATGAGCCACTGACAGCAGCTTTAACATTTCATTTGAATTTGGTACAGTTTATACATCAAATGCATTTTGTCAAAGCTTTACAATTATATATGGAATTCTGTCTCCTATCTTATTTAATTTGTATGTTGACGATCTGTCAGTGCAGCTGAGAGCCTGTAACACAGGATGTTTGATGGGTACAACTTTGATCAACCATCTGATGTATGCTGATGATCTGGTGGTCTTTAGTCCAAGTAGTGCTGGTTTACAGCAGCTCCTAAATATATGCTCTGAATATGGTGTGCAGTATAATGCTGTTAAAAGTGCTATCTTGATATGTAGAACCAAGCAGGATAGAAAGCTAAACTTTCCTGTGTTCAAACTGTCTAATAGTGATCTTAATGTGTGTGAGAAGGTGAAATACCTTGGCCACTTTATAACCGATCAAATGCGTGATGATGCTGACATCCACAGACAGTGCTGTAAGCTGTATGCACAAGCTAACACTATAGCTCGTGAGTTTGGTTTTTGTTCACCTCCAGTTAAGGTGGCTTTATTTAAAGCATATTGTACTCCGCTTTACACAGCCCAACTGTGGTCATCCTACAATCAAAGCAGCATGAATAAGCTGCAAGTTGCATACAATGATGCCTTAAGGATCATACTTAAAATACCCAGAGAGGGCAGTGCCAGTCAGATGCTTGTAACAGCAGGCGTTTGTACTTTTAAAGCACTTTTAAGAAAGCTCATATTCACTTTTACAGGCTGACTGGATAGCTCTGCCAATAGTATACTTTTAGCAATCACTGATTCTACTGTGAGCAGTTGTCGCTATTTGTCCAGTATAAGGAAATACTGGTTGAAGTGTTTGTGTGGTTAACCTTGTGTGGATCAGTTTATAGTAAAGTTTTTAATTACATTCAGATTTTTATTCAATTTTATGCTGTTATCTTTTTATTTCTATTTTGTTTCATTGATCTGTTGTTTTATGTATATTTTATCTGGACCTAAGAGTCTGTCAATAAAGATTTTCTATCTATCTATCTATAAATCACAAATGAGGTTTGACTCAAAAAGTTAACATAAGCTGGAATTTTGGGAAGGTCCTTTATTTATTTCAGATGTGACTGTAAAACTTCCCAAACGGACTTAAAAGGTTTTTTATTAAATGTAAAATCTTCAGTCTGTGACTGGATGCATGCTCAGCCCAAACCCTGCCATAAAATTGCCATAAAAGTGTCAAGATTTAACGTCCTCCTCCAAACTCCCGACTGGAAGCAGCTAAGAGCCTTTTCAGGAAATGCAGTCCCTCTC